TGAAGTTCTCAAAAGGAGAAAATGAAATACTTTATTCTTAATTGTCGCAACATCCATTTCTTTTATAATTAGAAGGACCAAAATGCACTTGTATCTTTGGCTATTTTAGGACTTGTTCGATATAACGGTTTGGAGATAATGATTAGTGATTTTATTTAAATTGTTAAGAATAAATGTTTAGTAAACTTATTTTTTTTGAAATTATTACAAATTAGATGTTTGATGACTTTTTATTTGACGGTTTGAAATTAGTAGATAACAATTAAGATTCAAACCATAATCAAATTGAAAAATCTACCCAAAGTAACTCTCTATATCAAATTATTAACTGATTGAAATTTTTTAATTTTATTGATAAATTTATTTTTTTAATTTTTAATTTTTTCACAGTTTTTAATTAATATTTATTTAATTAGTTTTAACTTTATTTTTTGCCTTTAATAATATTAAGTAATTATTATATTTTTTATATTAATTTATTTTAAAAAATATTAAAATAATAAATAAAATTTACTAATTAGATGAAAAAATTAAATTTTTTTTGTATTTTATTTAAAACTAAAATAATTTTTTGTTTATTAAAAATGAAAATTAGTGTGTGATTATACTATTATAATTTATTTATTTATTTTTTTTATAAAATTAATAAATTTAATAATAAAAAATATAAAAAATACAATTAATTATTTATATATATATTTTTATCAGTCATTTAATTTTAAACAATAACTACTAATTATTACATAACTAATTAGTTATATTGATAAAATTTACTATTTATTATCTAGTACTTATTTTTTACTATTCACCACAAGTTATTGCTGTCTGTTGAATTTTAATCACTACATCAAATAGGCTCTTAGATACCAACAAGGGGTTGGATCAAGTGGTAAACGACTTGTTCCAGCTTAAGTAAGGTCTCGAGTTACTCGAGACCTTGTGTACGCAGCAGCCCTTATTGAGAGACTCATCCACCATTTTCAGGTGCGCAACGCGGGTCGGGTCTAGATTA